CAGACCCTGCTGACTTTTCTGTTGCCAGGACAGAGCAGACTGAGAGGGCAAATTGAAGAGGCTCTGGATCTCTCATTGATTCAGCAGGAGGCTGAGAACAGAGCTCTAGACATCAATAAAGTAGCCAAGTTCATAATTGACATGATGGGCACCTTTTGCGCACCCTGTCGTGATGAAGACATCAAACAGCTGCGTGAAATCACTGACATTGTGCCCCTTTTTAAGTAAGTCACTTAAACAGTTCAAGGTGAAGGTCACATGACTCCAACTCCAAATAAAATCATGTTTATTTGCAGGTCTATATTTGCAGTGCTGGACAAAATGAAAATCGATATGGCCAACTTTGCTGTGAGCAGCCTGCGACCTCACCTCTTACAGCAGTCGGTTGAATATGAGCGGAAGAAATTTCAGGACTTCCTAGAGAAACAACCCAGTAAGGAAAATCAATTACTTGTATAGTAATTATAACAAATCAATAAATGTTATGTTATGCAGGCATTAAAAAATGTGGATAAGCTTCATGTACTTTAGTAAATGCTGATCTCTTTAATTCAGTTATGTATTCATGTTTGCAGATGCTTTGGATTTCACACAGAAATGGCTCCAAGACACAGCAGATTATGTAACCGGTGGAGGAACGGAGGGTGGAGCAACATGCACACCAAATTCTGCTCAACTAGCTCTACACAATCATGCCTATTTACGCCTGTTAAAGTGGGACCATGATGCTGAGTCTTTTCCAGAGGTAACTTATTAGTTATTTATAACTTATATCTATTAATTTATTTAAAACAAATTGTAAATGCAATAATACAGCTCTTTTATGACAAGCATGTTTCTAATTTCACACTGAGGAAGGATTTGAGCCGAAACGTTTGTGTCTTTTCCCATCAGTAATGAATGTAAAATAAAAGAAAAAAGAAGATTGTTCTCGTGAGTGCGGATCATAATTTCCTATACTAAGTAACTCAACAGATTGACGCACCAAAATAAAAAGATCAAGTAACGCAAGAGCGCAGTGCAAACGACGTTGTCTAATTTCTGAATTAAAATAATTTTTTTGTGGAAAAAATCATTTAGATATTTTTTGACAGGCATATGTCCAAACTATCTTGATACAACTGTCCTGATATCATAATGAAGAATTTTAACAATTAATGATATTTTTTTTTGTGACCGTAAAGGTATTTATAATGTTACAAAAGACAAAATTTCTATTTCAAATAAATGCAGTTCTTTTGAACTTCCTATGCATCACAAAATCCTGGAAAAATGTTCATGGATCATGCCAAATTGATTTAAGTAATACATTTACATATACAGTATACAGATACACAACACATCAGGCAAAACATTATGACCACTGACAGGTGAAGTGAATTACACTGATTATCTCTTCATCACGGCACCTGTTAGTAGGTGGAATATATTAGGAAGCAAGTGAACATTTTGTCCTCAAATTTGATGTGTTAGAAGCAGGAAAAATGGGCAAGCGTAAGGATTTGAGCGAGTTTGACAAGGGCCAAATTATGATGGCTAGAAGACTGGGTCAGAGCATCTCCAAAACTGCAGCTCTTGTGGGGTGTTCCCGGTCTGCAGTGGTCAGTATCTATCAAAAGTGGTCCAAGGAAGGAATAGTGGTGAACCGGCGACAGGGTCAAGGTCGGCCAAGGCTCATTGATGCACATGGGGAGCGAAGGCTGCCCCGTGTGGTCCGATCCAACAGACAAGCTACTGTAGCTCAAATTGCTCAAGAAGTTGATGCTGGTTCTGATGGAAAGGTGTCAGAATACACAGTGCATCGCAGTTTGTTGCGTATGGGGCTGCATAGCCGCAGACCAGTCAGGGTGCCCATGCTGACCCCTGTCCACCGCCGAAAGCGCCAACAGTGGGCATGTGAGCATTAGAACTGGACCACGGAGCAATGGAAGAGGGTGGCCTGGTCTGATGAATCACGTTTTCTTTTACATCACGTGGACGGCCGGGTGCGTGTGCGTCGCTTACCTGGGGAACACATGGCACCAGGGAACAGTGGTGACCCCTGTCCACTGCCGAAAGCGCCATCAGTGGGCATTGTGAGCATCAGAACTGGACCATGGAGCAATGGAAGAAGGTGACCTGGGGAACACATGGGAAGAGGGCAAGCCGGCGGAGGCAGTGTTGATGCCTTGGGCGATGTCTGCTGGAAAACCTTGGGTCCTGCCATCCATGTGGATGTTACTTTGACACATACCACCTACCTAAGCATTGTTGCAGTCCATGTACACCCTTTCATAGAAACGGCACCCTGCCACAAAGCAAAAATGGTTCAGGAATGGTTTGAGGAGCACAACAACGTGTTTGAGGTGTTGACTTGGCCTCCAAATTCCCCAGATCTCAATCCAATCGAGCATCTGTGGGATGTGCTGAACAAACAAGGCCAATCCATGGAGGCCCCACCTTGCAACTTAAAGGATCTGCTGCTAACATTTTGGTGCCAGATACCCAAGCACACCTTCAGGGGTCTTGTGGAGTCCATGCCTCAACGGGCCAGGGCTGTTTTGGCAGCAAAAATTTTTTGTGGACAGTCTAATTTGTCATTGACCCCAAAACTATTATTTTACCTTTTCCTCGATTTTTCTCCCTCCTGTGATCAAACAGACTCTTCTCATGGATCAGGGCAGATTTCAGGAGATGCAACAGGAGCTGGAGCAACTGGCACTGGTGGCATCAGTCCTGCTCATAGTCTATAACAGTGCTGGCGAGGCCATTTCTGGACTCCCAGGCCTCATGGAAAGACTGAAGAAAACCATTAAGATTCTGATAGCGGAGATGCACACTCTGTACGTTTAAAGATGAAATTACACTGTGTTTCTAATGCCTCACACTTCTGCAGACAAAACCATTGTACTTTTCCCTAATAGGTCCTTTAAAGCGGATGAAACCTTTGCTGCGGTTGCAGAGAAATTGTGTGTGGAGCTCAGAGGATGCTTGTCTCAGCATGGCTTTTCCCCATTTTCCTCAGATAGAGAGAACGCATTGAAAGGCCAAATCGTAGCTGCGAAGTCTGAGGACAACCCCATACGCAAGGTCATTGGTAAGCATGGTAGAACCCAAAAAGCAGTTGGATTCTATTTGGAAGTGAGGAACTCCAATCTAAAACTCTACTTTCTCTATCAGACTCACGAATCCAGATGTACCTTCTTGGCTTCCTGGAGTCAAGAGCCCACCGGAGCGCCCCGGCTCTCCCTGGAGGTCTGACACCCATCAGCAAAGAGTTAGAGGAGATTGCCGTTAAGCTGGGACGTTTGGTGACCTTCAACAAGCTAGTTTACTCTCCGTTCTACCACAAGATCCTCCAAGACATTCTGAAACAAGGGGAAAGTTTAGATGTGTAAACAAAACACCTGAATTACTTACCACTAGTTGTCCTGGCTTTCACATTCTGTAGCTATGTACAAATTAAAGTGTCGGTAAAATAGCTAATTAACCCCTCAAAGCTCACATGCTAGCACTAACATATTTAAGGGTTAACAGTCCTGACCTCCTCTCATTGCATTCTGTATCAGGGAATATTTATGGATGTGTCAAGAGCCTTGCAAATACTGTTATTGTTTGCAACAAAATATAAAAAGAATACTTGCATTTTACAAAAGATTGACTTCCAACAACATTGTAAGTAGTTTCAAACGTTTTCTGTTGTTGCCTGATCCCTTCCGCAAAGGTGTTATTGAGGTTTCTGGGTGTGAGGAAAAGGATGTACAGTACAGCATTAGACTGGTGCCTTAGTTTGTGACGTGCCACCCATATTTAAGTGCACAGTTTTCTCTTTACTGCTCATTTTAACCTACAGATTATTCCCATGTTGTTCCCACATTCATGGGACACCTGGAACACCAAGCACGGTCTTTTATAGAATTCTTGATTTAAAAAAAAAAAAAAAGTTTCTGTCAACACTGAGCATGTTTTACAGACGACACCTTCACCTCACAAGCAAATGTATTCACCAGCTGCACATCTGTTCTACTCTCATAGACTTCTAAAGTGTGTCTTTTCAATGCAGTATTAATGGTTATTTTAAACGGAATGCTGGCTTCCAATAAAAATGGTTAATGGAGGTGTGAAGAAAACACTGATTGGGTGTACTGTATTTTTTTTTTTTTTTCAACTTATGCAATTCACTTGGCATTATGTTACATTACATTATATTATACCTAGTTTCATCCATTTATATATTTGACATACATCAGTAGGTTTATTACATTATATTATTTTATAATTTTTTATGATTTATTATTGTAATATTAGATTTATTACTATCGGTATTAAATAAATACAGTTTATTCTGGAAATTTTCAGACATACATATAGACAGGAGAGAGCAAATTAAATTTTTATATGTATATAATACACCAGTTATTGTAATATTTGATTTAAATGTACTAATACTAAAACATTTTCAGTTATATCAAAATAGTTATACATTACTGGAAACCAACGGTTTAAGATATTGCAAAATATTTAATTATTATATGTAGAAATATATGTTTTTATATTTTATAGATTTTTTTTAATTGGCATATGCAAATATAAATTTTTTATAATATTTATACATTATATTACGACATTTATATTTATTTTTTATATACCTATGCATTGTCAAAAACACCTTACGGACTGCATATCCCCACCAGACGGGGCCGCTATACAACAGAACTGCGTCCTGCTTCCGTGGGCGTTTCATGTTGTGTGCGGTTAGTCTCCAGTCCTGTTCACGGCAGTAAAGCTGCGCAGCAGTTCTGACTCACCGCACTCAAACTAGGAAGAAGCAGCGCGAGCTCAGCTGAGAGAGCTCGAGCGAGTTGATCTGACAGAGTTTGTCCGTCGCCGTCAGGAGGAAACAAACCAGGGGGACTTAAGCGTCCTCGACATGACGACAAAAACCTCCCTTGACCGAAACGGATATCCTTAGCTCTACGCTGGACCCTGTTAGTTTCCCGTTGATGGCTTAGCAGGCGAGTTATGCGCAGTTGAAAATGAGGGAGCTTGTTTTTTCTCCCTCGTCGTCCAGCGAGAGGACAAGATGGCAGCGCGACCGCGTCGAGCATGTAGTGGGTGCGAATTAAACCCGAACATGTTCACAAAAGACCCGCAGTCTGACCACAGCTGCTGTCTGTGAAGGTAAGGAAGATTTTAACGAGTTGTAAATGCATACATACGTGTCTAATAGTCAATAGTAAAGATATCAAATCAGCCTCGACTTCGGAGTTGTGATCTCGAGCGCGTAGTTGTTGCGAAAAAAAGTTGCCATGCCACACCAAAAACTTGAAAGCAATGTTTCGCAGGGGTTGGTAATGTGTTTTGGTAGCTGTTGAGGTTCTGGGTTTAATAATAAAAAAATAAATGAAATAAAACAAACTTTTTTTTTTGCCCCACAACTTTTAATCTTTAAATGTTCGCGAAGACTTGCTGGTAACCAGCCAAACCCATAATGTTTCCCTAAATCCTGTTGCTTAAAAGCATGACATAAAGAAGTTCAGTTGATGTATTTAAGCGTTAATCATTTAAGTTGTTAGTATTCGTGCATGTGATTTGTAGGTTGAGTGAGTTTTCCCGGATGAACTCGCCAGTTGTTGATCTTGCACTATAATCAAGCGACATGTTGCTCAATCCTCCTAAAATGCACAGGCCTGGTTATCTGTTAGCAGCTGACTACTTCTTTCTTCTGTGACTTGACGGTGTGCTGGTAAGACTCAGCAAAAGTATTACCTAAAAATATCTTATGTAAAACGCAAGTTGCATTTCCTGTCTACACATTGAAATATAATCCCTCATACATTTCCTGTAGAAATGTTCTCAGAAAAGATTTTTAAACGGTTCTTTAATATTATAACTGATTATTTCATGTATATTTTTGGCAGGGAAAGTTTTGTTCATTCCGGAACTTCATTTAGCTTCCTACTCTTATGGAAAAGCTGGAAATATTATGGAATTTCCAGACCTGATTATGGTCAGCTGTAAAATTTATTTGGTTATTTATTTTTATTTATTTATTTATTTTGTAATATGCCAAAGAGCAAGGCAAGAAAAGTGTTGAAATTTTATAATACATGAATTACAGCATAATGAAACATAGAGGAACATAAGTTCATCATTGTTATTATTGCATTATATTATGTTTTAGCACATTATTTAATTACTCTATTCAAATGCCAGTTATTTTTATAATGTATTAAATATAGTTTTATCTACTTGTTCTGTTTACGTTAAAATTATTTATTATATTGATATTATTTTGTGAAATATTATTTTGTTATGAATTAATATTATAATGATTTTATTTAGTTTTAAATCAAATTCAATTTAATTACTAGTTACAAGTTACATTACGTTTAGAAATATGAAAATATTTTATAATAATATGTGTGTGTGTGTGTGTGTGTGTGTGTGTAATTTTTTGTGCATTTTATATGTAATGTGTGTGTGTGACTTGAAAAAGAATCATGGAATTATGGAATTTCATTTCAACCCTATTTCAATATGAAAAAGAATACTCCAAAGAAATGTTGTTGTAGTTTTATAAAACATGTATTACAACAATGAAACGGGAGTATTATAAGTTCCTCATTGATATTACTATCACTTTTCATCACTGGGAAATAGGGCTGCAACAAGCGATTATTTTTGTAATCGATTAATCTAACGGTTATTAGACCGATTAATCGACTAATCATCGACTATTTCGCTGATTAATCAGTAGACATTTATTGATTATTCAGCTTTTGCAATTAGTTAAAATATTGAGTTATACATTTTCTAACAAATTAAGGTAATCACTTCAGCTTTTGAAAGTCATATTATGTAATTACAGTTATACAATTAATTAATTTATACAAATAAATGTATTTGGCACACAAAATGAGATGGCAGATAAACTCTCTTATTCACCATTTAATTAGCTATATGAAAAAGTAGCTGAATGACACATCATTCTGCCTAAAATCTCTTTTTGTAAGTCATATGGATAAGAAACAAAATAAAGGTTAAGTGATAAGACGTTTTATTTTTGGATAAACTAATATTCACAACATAATCTCTCTTAAAATACCTTATAGGGTTATGATAATCAAAACAGTCCTGAGCTAGATCAAGCTTTGATCTCTGCAAACCAAACTATAACTTTAATGAAACTTTTTTTCCCCCACTAATAAAAATATTTTATCGTTAGCTAGCTCCACACTGGAGAGCTGATTTATAACAGAAAATCAAGTTGTAATTCTAACGGAAAGCGACACCGACTCTGGCAAACGATTATTTTGATAATCGATTAAGCCAACGTTTATTTAAACCGATTAATCGACTAATCGTCGATTATTTCGCTGATTAATCAGTAGACATTTATTGATTATTCAGCTTTTGCAATTAGTTAAAATATTGAGTTATACATTTTCTAACAAATTAAGGTAATCACTTCAGCTTTTGAAAGTCATATTATGTAATTACAGTTATACAATTAATTAATTTATACAAATAAATGTATTTGGCACACAAAATGAGATGGCAGATAAACTCTCTTATTCACCATTTAATTAGCTATATGAAAAAGTAGCTGAATGACACATCATTCTGCCTAAAATCTCTTTTTGTAAGTCATATGGATAAGAAACAAAATAAAGGTTAAGTGATAAGACGTTTTATTTTTGGATAAACTAATATTCACAACATAATCTCTCTTAAAATACCTTATAGGGTTATGATAATCAAAACAGTCCTGAGCTAGATCAAGCTTTGATCTCTGCAAACCAAACTATAACTTTAATGAAATGTTTTTTTCCCCACTAATAAAAAGATTTTATCATTTGCTAGCTCCACACTGGAGAGCTGCTTTATAACAGAAAATCAAGTTGTAATTCTAACTGAAAGCAACACTGACTCTGGTTTTTCATGGTTAATAATACTGTAAAGCTGCTTGATTTAAGGCTATCTATTGCTTAAAGTACTATATAAATAAACGTAACGTGACTGGACTTTACTGGAGTACTGAACTGCAGCGCTTGTGCAAACATCCACATCGCTGTAATCAGATGCGTTTTAAACTGCTGCTTTCTCACCTCTGTCAGTTTTTGATGTGTTTATTTTGTTATTGAGAGGAAAGCGCGCAGTATATATTTACATATTCATCCAAACGCCGCTCAGCAGCCTCAGGTTTGGCTGCGTTTGCTCAGTCTTCTCTTGAATTGCATCAGGAGAGCTGAATTACAGTCTTGCGCTACGGTGCCACACTGGTCAAACCACGTTATTGCAGGCTCTTACATTAGGTCATATGAGATCAAACAACTAACAAAAATATTTGTCTACAATTTTTTTTATTGTTGATAATGTCGACTAATCGTTTCAGCCCTACTGGGAAAATATATGCCTGTCAATTCAGTAAAGTTTACTTCCCAATCAGTTCCTGCCGTTAAACTTTTATAGCCCAAGCAGTTGCAGTATCAACAGGTGTTTTTCCTGTGCCATCTCTCGCCTAACCCAATTAGGTCTTGACATGGAAAAAGGTCAGTTGCCACCTGCTTATAGCAGAAGGCAGTGGCGTTTGAAAACAGTAGAGAGACATGTAACCCTAAACCTTTGCTGGTGCCTCCTTGCTACTGGGGTATTACGCTTCTATAGGACAGGCCTCGTAAAAACACTCCTCCAGATGGGACTGTCCTTTTAAAGCTGTTGAGTCAGTCTCTGATTGCAAACCTAGATGTTGTTTACACATTCAGGAATATAGACCTAATTGAAACAGAAACGCATGATTTAAACCTGGAGTTTGGTGTGGTAGTGTGAATGAATGAGGCCTTATATAACGGCCCTGGAAGTGAATCCATTAGATGTGCATTCTCCATTAAACGACGTGGTATGTTTGCACCCCCTTTGTTTTATAACCTCTAAGTGTTAGCTGGCTTATAAGTGTATGAGAGAGTTAGTATGTTGGTGTGTAAGAGCCACACCTGTCCTCGTGTCTGAACTTGTGCCATATGTTGTGCCAGCATAAGTAGTCTGTCTCCCACGAAACTAAGACAGCTAATCCCCATTGGTCACTTGTCTGTCTGAATCTGCTAATATGATATCACTGGTTTTATTGTACACGAGGGCTGAACGATTTATCAAAACAAAAATCAAAATCGCTATTTGGCTTATTAATCAAATTGCAAAGGCTGAAATTTATTTAAATAAATATATGTGCGTGTTTTAGAGTGAAGTGTTCATTTATACACAAGCAGATCATAACAGTGTTTTTAGTGTCTCGGTTCAGAATTACTACTTTACACAATCTGTGTAAAGTAGCTTTGATTGCTGCAATTGCTTTGATTATAACGTGCATTTGAAATGCAACACTCACCAAACATTTCAACTTTTTTTTTAATGAGAAGTTTAGAAACCTATTGCCAAAAGGCAAGAACCTTTTTTCTAAAGCAAAACCTCAGTTGTTCAGTGTTTAAAAATGAAGAAATGAAGGCATAAATATTAGTGTTGCAATTTGACAGTTTTGCAGTAAAATAAATTACTGTAATTTTAACTAAATATGTTTTATTTTGCAGTAAAATAGTAATATATCATATTTTTGCCTATTTTAATCATTTAATGTTTATATTATTTAATAATAATTATTATTATTATTTAATTTAATAATTATAATTATTATCATATTTATTTATATCATATTATTTATTTATTATATATTTATGTTGACACATAATCATACAACTTTTGGCCAAATTGTGAAGCCCTACAAACAAGCACAGTAATTATAGAGCTCTTTAAAAAAAATATCACATTTTATAAATCACAGTTGTATTTGCAGTTTCTTTTTTCTTTTCTTTTTTTTAAATTTTTTTTATGTGCAGCCCCATGGTACACTTAAAATGCTTTTTAAGCTTTATAAACTTTCCCTTCAGGAGTTAGTGAGATCTTCTTTGTTATTTGCCCTGTATTTAACATGTAATTAATTCAACAAGCGATCTTGCTTGTTTTGAATCTTTTATAATAGCAGGAAGTTTTGTTTTGATGATTATGACTGTATAAAAATGTAAACAGCATCAAGGAAATGACTAACACAAGCTAACACTTTTCTTCCCCTCTGTCCTTTTATAGGTATGGCCTCACAGGTTACGGTCTGCCCACCACATGTTTATCAACCCCAGACAAGTGCCTTTTGCAGAGCGAAGAAAATCGATCCCAGCAGCTGTGTTTACCATGAGAAGACCCCTCGCACTTATGTGGTCGGTGTGAATCTAGGCATTGCGCACCCTACGGATATTATACCTTTATCGAGAATCGAAGCTTTAACCAGCGAGAAACCCTGCGCCGCATGGGACATCTCGAAACAGACTGAAACAGCTCCACAGGAGCTCCTTGGAAGGGCTTCCTCGCCATACAAACGTGTGGCATCGGAGGGCGACCTTCAGTATTTCTCCAGAGCGGCCGCGGCAGTTGAAGAAGAAAGTGGAGACAGTGGCCAAAACAGCCAAAGTAGTAGTAGAAGCAGTGGCGGTGCTCCGGAAGGGGCGGAGAGAATCGAGAGGAACGGTGGTTTGAATTCGTTTGACAGAACCCAAAGATGTGGGTTTAAATGCAAAGGGGCTGAGCTTGAGAACGGCAAGAGCATCATGCAGATAGTAGAGGAGCATTCGACTCTACCTGCCATGTTGCAAACAAACGTTGGGAGCACCACCGTGGTAGGCGTGGCCCCGCCCGAGCAGAATGGAACCGGGACGAGAGCTGTGAATGGGACAGTCGATGGCGACTATCAGTTAGTCCAACATGAAGTGCTGTGCTCCATGAAGCACACCTACGAAGTGTTGGAGTTCTTGGGACGTGGTACGTTCGGTCAGGTGGTCAAATGTTGGAAGCGAGGCACCAATGAGATCATGGCAGTGAAGATACTGAAGAACCACCCATCGTATGCCCGCCAGGGCCAGATCGAGGTGAGCATCCTGGCCCGACTTAGCGGGGAGAACGCAGAGGAGCATAACCTGGTGAGGGCTTTTGAGTGCTTCCAGCACAGAAACCACACCTGTCTGGTGTTCGAAATGCTGGAGCAGAACCTGTACGACTTCCTCAAGCAGAACAAGTTCAGTCCGTTGCCACTGAAGGTGATTAGGCCCGTTCTGCAACAGGTGGCCACGGCGCTTAGGAAGCTCAAAAGCTTGGGCCTGATCCATGCCGATCTTAAACCAGAGAACATTATGCTGGTAGATCCTGTGAGGCAGCCCTTCCGTGTGAAAGTGATTGACTTTGGCTCTGCCAGCCATGTCTCCAAAGCTGTGTGTTCGACGTACCTGCAGTCTCGCTACTATAGGTAAGCTGTGTTTTTTTGTTTCCTTTTATTAGGCTGACTACTTGTCATTAGGGATGCACCGAATGTTCGGCAACCGAAGTTATTCGGCTGAAAATGGCAAAAAAATCTCTTTCGGTGTTTGGCCGAATAAGCGAAAAGGCAGAATAATATGTACAGAACAATGACGCGATCAAGTAGAGGCACGCACTAATGCAGCAAACATGTCGGCAGCGTGAAAGTATTTAAATCTATCAGAGAAAGACACAGAAATCATTACAAGCACGAAGCACCAACAGCGAGAGACTGTTTAGTGCTGCATCACATGTCTCCGATGAGAAGAAGAGGTGGCTGATGCTGGTGGTTAGGCTACTGAATGATGATTGAAATCGCGAAATGGCCTCAAACGATTAGTAAATAAACTGCAGAATGTTATATTTTCTAATGCACGCACTAATTGCATGTATTCTGACAGGGCTGCACGAGCTCGCGGCGCCAAGGTTCAAAGTCCAAAGCACGAGGAAAATCTGAGCTAAAACTGTGTTACTCGTCAGTTGCTCAGTAACATTTTTGTGATTTATTTATTTATTTATTTTTTAAAGGCATGTGATACATGCGATAGGGTTGGGCCGATAGACGATGCCATCGTCCATCGCTGATGGCTGATAGACATCACGATGTTGAGCCGGCATCGTGATTCCCCCCCTTTTGAATGCACGGTCGCTTTTTAGTTTCACTATCACTTTCGAGATTCTTGATCCAACGTACTCTGTTTATACTATGGAGCGGCAGTACTTGCAACACATTTTACAAGATTATATGTTTGTCAGTGGTATTGGGGATCTGCAAATCATTCGCCATCGTCCTCAGTCATCTCTCCTTACACCGTGTCTACACCGGACGCGACAGCTGTCGTGTCGCGCCGCGCTGCATCAGCTAAAGACTGTCTACACTGGACGCAACAAAGCGACTGTTGAAAATCATTTGAAATTTGTGTCAGCACGTCATAAATAGAACGCGGCAGCAGTTTACTGTCAGGGATTTGTCGTGTCACTCTGCGCCGCATCCAGTGTAGACCGCATCACTGAGTTCTATTGACTGATCTATATATAATTAATCTCTATTATAGATCAGTGGTTCTATAGTATTTTGCCGCGGCGCTCGCATCCGGTGTAGACACGGTTTTAGGAATCATTAGTTGTTTTCCCTTATAAGGATTCACGCTTCGGGCACCCCCCTCTGCACCCGCCCACGCCGATGTCATCGTAGACATCGAAAATATTTTTAAATTGTTGTTTTGTAATTGATTTTTTTATTTGAAAAGCAGGATAAAAAGCATATTTTGGCTATTTAATTTATGCAATGGTGGAAAAAAAAGGCAAAATAGGCCTACATGGGGGAAAAAATGTGAAAAACCATGTTCTGTATTCGGCCTTCGGCCCAGTGTTTCATTTCGTTCGGCTTCGGCCAAGAATTTTCATTTCGGTGCATCCCTACTTGTCATGTCTCGGTTTAATCATAAATAGTCTTTTGGAATTTGTAGCAAGTATAAAGATATAATTTGTGGTGTTCGTTTTGAGGAAGTCAAACTGAGGAAGATTTACTTAAGCTGCACTTCCTGTCAGAACAATTATGTAATTCTGTCTATAGCTTTTGTCTAAAGTTTGATGGTAAGCTCTCTTTGTATCCACCATGGAGCAACACCCATACTAAATTTGTGTAATGATGAAAAAACGACGCATAAAGTTTTCGACTAGTTTGGTTCCCTCTTGTCTGCTTTTTTCCTAATGGGGTCAGTTCAGTCCGCGATGGCTGTACTTTGTGTCTCTGTGGTTGGCAGTTCTTTAGGAAGAATGTGGTTTGCTGAAGTGATTCATGGGACATGGAAGAACATGGAATCTTAAGTCTTAAATTAGAACATGCCTGATGTTTGTGTTTTAAATTCTCAAACTAAGTCAAACTTAATTAGTATTTTTTAACCCCAAAATTTCCTTTCATGCTTTCAGTCTATAGTATATTGTAATAAATGGATGATTCAGCCAAAAATTTAATCTCAACCTCATGTTGTTCCTAAAGGGGCGGTTACACTGCACTTTTCGTTCCATTGACTTCCATTCATACGCATGCGAATGCGTAAGACCGGAAACGCAAGCTCATGCGAAAAATTTAAGTGTATTATTATTAAATTACTTAATGTTGTTCGTTATTTTATATTTATATTTTCAGAATCATTTAAAATTAATTTTGCACACCTCAAGAACTTAATGACCTCAAGACCTTGGCGCGTGATGTCATATCCTGCTCCCGCCCATATTCGCAGCGGCATCTGAAAAAATTTAGCACGTTCAAAGTCTAGTGTGACCGCCCCTTAAGATGTATGACTTTCTTGCTTTTTAGAACACAAAGTACACAATACATTATGCATTATTATAATTTCAAAAAGTTCAAAAGATGTATATTTTTAATCCGCGAAGATGCATTAAAAGCTCAAAAGTGGCAGTAAAGACATTTATAATGTTCCAAAGTATTTCAAATTAAAGTCTTTCTTTTTAACTTTTTTTTTCATCAAAGAATAAGAAGAAATTGTATCACGGTTTTTTCAACATTAGAAAAATAAAATGTTTCTTCAGCAGCAAATCAACATATTCAGCATAAATCATCATAAATGATTTCTGAAGGATCATGTGACACTGACGGCTGGAGTAATGGCTGCTGAAAATTCAGCTTTGCCATCACTGGAATAAATTATGGTTTACATTATACTCGGATAGAAAATGGTTATTTTAAATGGTAATACTTATATAATATTTCACAAATGACTGTTTTTACTGTATTTTTCATTAAATAAACATTTTTTTTTTTTAAATAGAAAAAATCTTACAGACCACAAACTCTTGAATGGTAGTATATGTATTTTGAAGATTTTTTCAGCCGTTTTTGTCTGTTAGTGGGGTCCAAGACAACATTAAACTCAATAACTTTCACTGTGAGGTAGTGTTGTCAAAAGACCCTGTACTTCGGTATCAAGTCGGTACTAAAAAAATGAAAATGTTACGGTACCAGGTTTTTTTTAAGTACCGGTGGTACCGAGTACCCGGTCAACCCGGTTCTTGATGCGCTATCTTCATAAAAGCACTGAGACGTGGCGACATCAAAACGAGGAAACACACCAAACTAACAAAACACTTTAAAGACACCCAGATCAAATGAAAGAGTTCAAGCAGGTAAGTTTCATTTTAATTTTTAATATGTGTTTCCCATACATTGATTTATTTGAGGCGGCCCGCCACAATATCAGTGTCAAAGTCGAAACCCGGTGCGGGTGTTTTTATATCACTGTATTTCTGAAGGAAACGACTGTCTTCAGAAAATTATGGATGTCATTTTCATTTCATCTTGCCTGTAATGCCTGAGCAGCGTTTGTGAGCTGAGCGCTGCTTTGTGTACAGCGTTACCGGGGAAGCCTGATCTCTCGCGCTCTACAAGCGCCTCTTGCTGGCAGAAAATGAATTTGCATATATATGCCGCCACAAATAGAGTGCACGTTCTGGGGGAAACACTGCATATTATTCAATATTTTAATTTGAATGTCGGATTGAAATGAAAGCCATTATTAGAGTAGTTAATCGTTAGCATAAGCGCGGCTAATGCTAATATAATGAGCATATGAATAAAGTTTCTTTAACTATTTAAGAATGCTCCTATAACTTTTATTAGGGTAAAAAAAAAACAGGAGGACATGATGATATTTACTATTTTTACACACCAGAGGCTTTTAAATGAATTGTGAATCTAAAATATGTGTGTTAGAGAATGTACAAATGGTTAACATTGTTTGTGTCATATCAGTCAGAAGTTCTGGGCTTTTTTTTTTTTTTTTTTTTAAACTTAGTTGTTGTTCTTTGCTGAATAGCTCTAGGTTTTCAAAAGCCCTTTAAAATTAAATATGTACACATTTTGGATTAAATGAAAGTAGTCAACATTTTTAATTAGCATGTTTTTGTGTTTTGCTTTGGTACCGAAATTGGTACCAAGAACCGTGGATTTTCACTGGTATTGGTACCGAATACTGAAATTTTGGTACCGTGACAACGCTACTGTGAGGACAAAAACACTTTTCAAAACATGTAAAATAAGAAAATAGTTCAGGTTTGGAACAGTGTGTGGTTGAGTAAATCATTATTTAATTTTTTTGGTGAACGGTCCCTTTAAGACTTTTGTGCCACTGAAAGGCATACAAAATAGGTTTTGAACGTAATGTGACATTGCGGTGCGGAGTACAGTCTGTCTCTGTAAACTGTTTGTGGGGAAGCTATCAGCGAACAAGATCAAGAGAAGCTAGGCGCTAGTTTAAATAGGGCATTTGAACTCTTTGTACTTTGGCACTGCCACAGTTTGATGCCTGCAACTGCATGAACTCACAGCCCATGCAGGTGGCACATGTGAATGTGTCACTTTGCATGGGAATGAGATGAACTGAGGAACGTGTCTGTTGGTAATGCTGTCTTTGCACTCAAAAGAAGTGTGATAACAGATGTTTTTATAGAAGGTTATGAATCATCATTCACTCTCGCTTGTTCTTTTTTTTTTTTCTGGGATTTTGTTCATGACTCTTTACATAGTGTTCATGTTAAATCATTACATAAGTACTTTTACGTAATTTTACGAGTAATTTTAACAAACAACATGTACTTAGTGTGCAATTATTTTGAGTGGTTTGTAATAGTGCATTGTTTGCTATTGTAATTAATTAGTCACAAGTAATGTTTTTTTAACATTATCATTTTAAATATAAAGGGGTAATTTGTTAACATCTTCCCCTTTTATTTGTTGTGCTTTTGTTTTATAAAGTGCACGTTTTGTTCTATAAACAAACATAAGTGCTTATGGATAACTGAATTAGTGTTCAAGAAATTTGTTAAACCTAATTGTTAATTATTTCATCAAAATTTCATCAAAATATTCTTATATATTGCTATGTCTTTGCATGTCAGATATTGCTGTGTTTTTGATAAAAGCCCCAC